GATTATTGGGCCAACAGAACATGGGTTGATATTGCACCGAGACGCTTTGCCTGCCTTTGGAGGTTCACTGTGACCTGGTAACTTCCAGAATGAGTCCAAGCGTTTTATCACGAACTGTCGAGCATTCGTTCAGCCACGGCGGGCATTTGCCACGATATGAAGCAAATGCGCAGTGTGAGCTCAACATTGTACCGGTGTCCGAACAGCAAGCAACGATAGAGGGGATCTGTACGTGCCCGCAGACTGCGCATTACTGAGTTTTATTTCTCTGCTACCGTAGCATATTCAACCCTTCCGCATCAAGCAATTTTAACTTTGCGCTTTTCGCTCCTCATTTATTGTCAGAGCGTTGTTTCTTTTACGTTGCTCCGCAAAATTAGTATTGAAGGAGCATTGTTCATTTTACTGTTTTCTTCGCAAAAATGTACAAGCGTTACATAATTATGCGGAAGGGTTGAAAACACTACGGTACAGGTGCGCACCGGCCTGCGGCTTTTGCACCTTCTACAATACTAAGAGAATCCCTAAACGAACTCGGGCTCGCCTGAGCACCGCTTGCTGTCCCCAAATCCGTCACAAAAATCACCAATCGCACCAGCACGTCAATGAAAGCACCCATTAGCAGCAAGTGCTTTAGTGCATTGCTTCGGTACTTAAGTACTGGCGCCAGCCATGCTCCAACTCACGACGTGTTCCTGTCACGACATCTTCATGACCACATGCCCGTCACAGAATGAGCGCCAGCTCGCCCAACCGGCCGCCGCCAATGAGGAGCAACAGGGGGGAGGATTAATGATTGTGAGGGGGAAATCAGGAGGGGATTCTGTCAAGAGAAGACGTGACAGAATATCCAATGCACAGGCAGCCAGAGCGCGGAAATGCCCTGTCTCAACAACAGTTCATTTACATCCTTTTGGTTTGTCAGGAATTAGCCACCTCAGCACAAGACGTGGTTTCATCAGCTGTGCGTGCATGCATCTCTTCGCCACTGATGTGGCAATTCAACCGATATCAATCTTGTGGAGAAGAAAGCTGATTTGCACTATGCGGTGAACCATCGGCAGGTGCTCAAACCCGCCATCCATTGTGCGTAGGAGCAACTGTGATGACTCCACAAGGAAACGCCCAGACAACTTGAAATTTTGATGAATCATCGAATGCAAACTGCTGTGGATGGTTTGATAATGGGATTCCATGTGCTGCGCTTACACGAACTGATTTAATGTTTGAAATGGGCGAGCATGAGATACATGTGAATGAGATTTCAAATGCGGGGTAATGTTGATTGATTTCAGATGCGTCTGCAACAATAATATGAATAAATATATGTGCAGAAAAGTTTTGTTTTGCAACGAATCAAATTGGCGGACAAATGGAGGTGAGCGGAACGAAGTGTGGTCTTTTGCAATAAACTTTCTATTCACGTGATCGCAGTTTTTGTTGATTGCTGGGGGAAACACATCCATATCCAGGAATGATTTGGGGTCCAAAAGGAAGCCGTCAATGGGATACGGCAGGACGTGACTTAGTGGAATGATTGGCGACAGCCAATTAGTTGCTGTAACCACTGGCATCAGTTGCGTTGGAGTGCTCATGCGGTGTGTGGGGTCTGAGCGCACTCTTGCAATGGAAAAATGGGGGATGGATGCCTCTCTCCTGCGGCTTGTTATTTACGCCGTAAGCACAGTCTATATTTGCGTATTTATTTTCGTATTTCAACGCGCGTTTTCATAAAAAGACACGAATGCAGACTGTCGTTACGCCGGAAATGGCAAGTTCGCTCCCCTCCATGTGGATATGGGAGCTGTATTTGGGCATCGTACACCAGGCATATCATCTGGATGGTCGCAAGCGTGACACTGGTCAATGTCAGACTTTGGGTGATTTCTTTGGAGATTGAGATTCGCACTCCGTAGAAATTCAGATTCACATTTTGAATGTGACCAGGGAGCTGTGCACTAGGAAAACAAAGCCAGGTGGCGCGTATTTCAACGGGTTATATGGATGTGCGTTCCTTCAAATTGCTTTGCGAACGTGTTGAAATGCACCAACATACCGTCAGAGACACACCGGGGGACAAGCAAAACATGTTGCGTGAACTGTTTTGCATGAACTACAGAGAACGCATCCTACGTTCGCGCGTTGCACTTCAAGCTCTGGACGTGTTGCACCAGCATCGATGGCCGGCAAAGAAACTTCGCCTGCACCCCACCAACTGTGAAAGTGTTCAGTGCTGGGGATCTGCACGAGCCAAATGATGCAGATCTCAAACATTGGCTGTTACTTACGCTCACCACACAAGTTGTGTGCATTTAATGCTTAACCCGCAACATGCACTGACACGTCATGGAAACGACCGGCTGGGCTCCACAGCGACACACACGTGTCAATATTCAGACATGCTTACGATTTTATTACTCTAATTAATCGCCGTGGTCACGGCGGTCATCGCTGACCGACATATTGTCTCAGATGGCAAAGGAGGGGACAGGCCGTGAACTCCTGATCGGGATCGCCGCGCCCCAAGGGAACTGAACGCAATCGGGGTGCCCAAGGTTGCGCAGAATTGCTTCCTTGTCAATGACAAGAATGACAAGGTGCCATTTAACCAACACAAATTGTCATCATCATCATCAAGATTTTTTACATATCGAGGAGAGGAGGCAGCCATCAGCTCCCCATTTCGCCCGAGCAAAGCGGTGTCCACGAATTGTTTGTTGAGAACCTACGGCATTGCCACAATCCAACTCAGAATATCACAGGGCCTCTCGAACGGGTCGGCGACAATTCGTCCAAGTGCCGTCCTGGCCAAAACATCGCAACCCGTCAGAAGCATGCTGTTGGAACTGGAATTGACCGAGCATTACTAACAGCTGGACGCATAAAGAGGTGATGAGGCCTTAGGAACTGCACTAAGGACATTGATGAACGGACTGGATACAAGGGACATAATCCCTGTTGTCCCTTTGCTCCGCTGTAAACCGTTGCCTCGTACTCGAGCCTACGGTCCCCGGTGGCAGGGGACGCCACCCCTCGACCCGAGGTGATATTACTGCCTGCACCAAATCGGTGACTGCTTGCACCAAGTCACGTGCACACTTTGTCCTAACCTCAATTTTAGGGTTAGGTTTAGCTTTAGGGTGAGTTTTAGGGTTAGGGTTAGGGTTAGGACAGGTTTAGGTTTAGGTTTTAGGGTTTAGGTTTTAGGTTAGGCTAGTTTGGACGAAGTTGGACATGATGTGCACGTGACTTGGTGCAAGCAGTCACCGATTTGGTGCAGCCAGTAATTTTATGCCCCTCGACCCTGCCTGCCCACGTGAACGCAACATCGAACATCAGCTTGAGCAAAATGACCTCAGCGTTAGTGCAAAACTTTGCATTGCAAAGTCCCCTCGCAGGTGCTCGACAGGCACCATCGCCTTCCTCCGAGCTGCCAGAAACAGGTACCTGCGACCCAACCAGCTGGGCGGCTCCCAGGCATAGGCGCACGCATGTCATCGCAAGGCGCCTTCACCGGCCAGGGTGCTGACGGTGGGGCGGCTGCCAAGTCGTCAGGCGGGGCCCCGGTGGAGGGGATGAATGGGGCCAATGCCGCGGAACAGCCTGGTGGGGGAGGAACTCTGGCCTCCCTCTCGGCGACCGTGGCCGCTTTAGCGGAGCGTGTGTCGGATGTTCAGGTGACCAGAAGGGCGGGAGCCAAAAGGGGAGGGGGGGACCAGTGGGCAGGAAGCTAAGATACGCTACACGCTGAGAAGAAACCTCGTCGTCCAAAAGGGCACCCCGCTGTAACATTGGCTACATGACGAAAAGAGAGCATGTCATCCAAAAAGGCCCCCCACCCCCGCCCCCCAAAAAAGACGCAACCCGTTGTGTGTGAGGCACATCAAATGGATGTAGCTTAGGTCCTGGGCCCAGAGGACCAGTGCTTGCTGTGACCCGCGCTGTGGGCTGTGGACTTGCGCGGGGTGTTTCCTTGTTGGGTGCCTGGATTGGCGGCGTGGATGGGGGATGGATGTGGGCTGGGGTCTTTGACATTGTGGTTTAGTGTTGGGGTGCTCTGTGCTGGCCAATGATGGCCTGGCATGCCCAAATGTGCTGACCTGCGTGCAAGTTGTTGCTGTTGTGTTATGGGTTGCAGGGGGCTGCAGCAGCAATGAAATGTCATGTCTTCGTGTCATGCTTGCTATGCGACTGCAATTATGTTCAGTCTCCGTTCCCAGCTCAGGTCTGCAGGCAGAAATGATACATGCGCAGAGTTGTCAGTCGATTTGCTGCAAATGGGTGCTTTTATGGTGCCCATAACAGAGATTCTCCTCATTAGCGGATTGCCTACACATTCTGGAAAAGAGCTGTTTGTTGGGTGGTGTGTGTTGGCTGTGACAGGCTGTGTGCTGCTCTTGCTGACTGTGTTGATTACAAACTGACGAGGCGTGATCCCCACCGTTTCACCTGTACAAACAGATGCTATGGCAGGGATTCGCAAGACGCAGCAGAGATAAACAGTGAGGGGATTTAGAAAATGCTAGGGTGGTTTGTTCAATGACAACATCTTGTCCAAATCCAGCATCGACACAGCAAGACAAAGCAAGCAAAACGAAGTGGTGCCCGTGCTGCACCCAGGCGCCTCCCACACTCTACTGTAGTCCCGCTAAAATTTCTGACTCCCGACAGGGGTGCAACTGCATGTAACTTGTGTGTTCTTTTTGGATAAGAGGGTGTTCTCCTGGTTGTGTGCAAAGTCAATTTGATGTGCGGCCCTGATGCCCATGATCATATGCTCTGTTCAGGTCGAAGGCGAAGCTGAGGGGAAGCCAGACGAGCCAGACCCATCCTTGAAGTCAACGGGGCTGAAAGAGTCTGACAAAGATGTTGAGACAAACGTTGTTGGCGAGACGATGTACAGCTCTGCTAGCACCTTCGAAGAGCTCGGCCTGACAAAGGAGCTGCTGGAGGGTCTGTATAGTGAAATGAAGTTCCAAAGGCCCTCCAAGGTCCAAGCCACAACGCTGCCCATGATTCTCACACCCCCCTACCGAGACCTGATAGCTCAGGCGCACAATGGGAGTGGCAAGACAACGTGCTTTGTGTTGTCGATGCTCACGAGGGTGGACCCCGTGCTGCATGAGCCGCAGGCGCTGTGTGTGTGCCCAACACGAGAACTGGTGGCCCAGAACCAGGCCGTGCTGCTGAAAATGGGCAAGTACACTCAATTGGAGTCCCTCAGCACTTCCACCACTGAAGAGCTGCCAACAAGCCAAAAGATCAAGGCACAGATCATTTTTGGCACTCATGGCAGGCTGAAGTTCTGGATCAGTCGACGGATGCTTGGTTTGGGGAAGATGAAGGTGTGCTCAGCAGGCGCAGCTTAGAAGACATGGAGCAACTGCCAAGCGTAAAACTGAGATGGAACAATGCTAAGCCGCACTCCTGGCTGGGCATGAAATCGTGCCAACCGCAATGGAATACAAAATGTGCTGCAGACTGTTGGATAGGACACATTGTACTATTTGTTGGGCACACTGTCTTGAATCCCCAAGGAGGCATGGGCAATTCTCAACTTAAGCTAGAACTTTGCAGTTCGTAAGGGCATGTTGTGGAGTCTGTTCGAGTTCGTATGCTTGCATGCAGTAACCATCTGCACCCACACAAAATCTGTACGACTTTCTGCCAGTCCCTTTGTTCACTGCCATAATGCTTTGTGCTCTGATTAATTGGCGCTGACCAGGACACCTGCGCCCTTTCCTTCAATGCCCTCATCTGCTGACATACGCTGCCATTTGTGGCTCAGTGAGACACAGCCACTTGTGCGAACAGTGTTGGACTTGCAGCAGGTGACATGGCATGGAACTTGATGGCTTCCCATCATCAGCCTGTTATGCTGATAGTTATGCTGATAGAGCTCATCTGTGCTGTCCAACAGCATCACATTGATCTTTACCTCCAGGCTGCTGGCTGCTCAAAAGGTTTGCAGAATGCTAGCAATATGCCAATGTTCTGTTTTGGGCCTGCTGCCATAGGTTGTTGTGCTGGATGAGGCTGACAACATGTTAGAGGGACAGGGCTTTGCTGATGACTCCTTCCGCATGATCCGCGAAATTCGCAGCCAGAGCCCAAATATTCAGCTCCTCATGTTTTCGGCAACATACAATGACGTGGTCAGGAAATTCGCTTGCAGGATAACAAAGGAGGCAAATGAGGTGTGTTGGACTCGTTGTGGTATGAGCTGTGTTTGTCGCTTGGACGAATTGTCTTCAGTGGAAGTTTTGCCCTATTGCTGATTTCCAATCCCCAAGTTGCTGTCTGTGCATCTTTCTTGTGTTTCTTTGACTCTGGTTTGCTATTTAGAGTATCTTCCACCTGACACCCCTCTGAATGTCCTCATTGTGTCGTGTCAACCAAAAGAAGTGCCCAGTGGAGTGGAAGGCGATTTTCTTGTACTCTTCTGAATACTGAGGTCTGTGTGAGCAGGTAGGACAATACATTCAGTTGCACTTATGACCTCCATTGCCTCACATATGCCTCCCTGTTATTTCCACAATGGGCTTGTGTTCCTTTGTGTTGTTGTCAGCTTATGCATTTCCTGCACCAGGTGTTCCTTCCCAAGGAGGAGCTGTCGCTCGAAGTCATCAAGCAATACAGAGTGAATGTGCCCCAAAAGGAGGACAAGGTTTGGGTACTGCTCCAGCAGATCCTTCCAAACTGCGAGAAATTGGGGCAGACAATCATTTTTGTCAGGACAAGGGAAATGGCGAGGGTGCTGCATGGCATGCTGACCAAGGATGGGTTCAAATGCACTGCCATAAGTGGTGAGATGCCATTTGACAAGCGGGACCAAGTTGTGAATGAGTTCAGGAGTGGTGTGACAACGATCTTGATATCCACAGATGTGCTGTCCCGAGGTTTCAATGTGGATGAGGTGAGCCTGTTTGTGCTGGCCAGCAGCACGAGACCCTTGCTTGCACCCTTGCATCACCTGAAATGGCATGGGATGTGCAGAAGTGCTATCTAGCATGTCTCTAAAATGAAATAGATGGGGATTTATGCTGCAGTCTGGCTTGCTGTTTGGGATAGAGGTCATGGCTGCATCAAAGTGCATGTCGCTATGTTCTGGGCTGCATAATATCTGTGCTATTAGGACAGGCCATTCTCGTCACAACGCTCGATGGCTTCTCTTGACACCCACTGTGGCGCACACATATGTTGTCCAGAGGATCCAAACACTCCTCCAGATACTCAACTTCTGTGCAAACTCTCATTCTCCAGTTATGTTGGTGTGCTGCATTAATTTGTTGCTGGAGTTAGGTGGCACCTGGATCCCCTGCTGGAAATTCACCAACATGTGTAAGCCATGTTGGTTGTTTGCCAATATGTGCCTGCCTGTTATGAACACAATGAGCACAACGTGTGGCTGCTGTCTTGCTGTGTTTGGATCCCATTCAACACTTTCTGTGAATTTCCTTGGGTTTGCAAATGTGTATCTGTACAAGCCACAGCCATCCTGGTACTGATTTTCATGGAGCACTGCTGTGCAGCACAGGTGTAAATCCAGCTGTGGAGTCCAACGTGTGGAATATTGATAACCTGTTGCTCACTGCCCGCCTTGGTTGCAGGTCACCCTGGTTGTCAACTACGACATACCAACAGATCGCAATCGCGAGCCTGCTTATGAGACATACCTGCATCGCATTGGGCGGAGTGGCAGATTCGGACGCAAGGGTGTGGCCTTCAACCTCTGTGTCAGCAACTGGAACGTGAGTAGACTGTGCCCACCAAGCCCCCAGCTCATGCTGCGGTCTCCACATGCTGTGGCTCACTTCTGGATTATGCATGCCACAGACTGTGTCATAATTGGACACCTGCCTGTATTTCCTTCTGGCCGTTTTTCAGGATTCAGGTCCGTTCACATTGCCCACGAGTTCCCAATGTGCTGTGCAGGTGCTGTTGTATGCTTCTCCAAACATCTGTTGTGGGGGTTGTGCCATGTTTTCGAATGTTGCAATGGCACCACAAGGCTCTTCGCTTGTACATCTGCATTGATGACATCCATCAATGTGTGGCTAATCATTGCCCTTGCACTTGCTGGGGATTGGGGGATTCATTGTGGCTTCATAAGTTCATGTTGTGCCTCCACAGGATGGGGATATCCTAGATCGAATATCTGAATACTTCCAGCGCCAGATACCTGAAGTCCAGTACGATGACGAAGAGGTATTTTTGAAAATTCTGAAGGATGCTGGACTTACTGAGGGCTGAGGCATGCACCAGAAGTGCAGGTGGCTGACCAAAGTTGAGTTGCAGGTTTTTGACTGAGTCTTGGCTTTCAGGTGGCCTTGGCATTGGTGTGAGAAGCATTTATAGCCTTTGAGCAGGCTGCTGAACAGTTGCAGTTCGACGAAAATGGCATAGACTTTAGCACAGCGGCCAAATGCAGGATTATTTCAAATACGCATGGGAAATTTCACCCATCGAGAAATGAGATGTCACAGGATGGGGTTGCAGCTCTGGTTGTATGTTGTTGTTTTGTCAGAACACATGGAAGGTTCAAATGCATCATGTCAAATCCTATTACACTTTCATTGTGTCCACACAACTTAAGTCTTCATTTTCAAAGGCCCAGGCCCTGCTGCTGGAATCAAAGGAGTGATGTCCACAAATGAGAGAAGGCCACTTCGCTGTGACGAAGTCCCACACAACAAATCAATTGTGGTACCTGGACTCCTGCATGTTATGTAGTATTTTTAGGAAAGAAAAGAAAACGCTGCACCACTGTCCACCACGTGGAAATGCAAGTCTCTTGCTGCCTGGCCCCCCGGAAGAAGGGCACTCATATGGTGTGCATAGGGCAGAAACAGCATGTCCTGTCATCAATTCCATTTTGCTAGTTGATCGCACACTTAATACCACACGATGACGTGATTCAGCTGCTGAATGCTCTCAAGCTTGAAGGCAAACGTCCGGTAGTTTTTCCCACTGCCTGCACGGGAGGACTGTAAGCTGGAACCAACCTGGCAACATCTCTGCTGTCGATACAATTCGTGGTCCAGCAGCCACGATGTTCCCCAAAGTTTTTTCAGTAATCCCTTAAGAGGAACTCCCAAACTGGCAGATGTTGGCACACTGAAAGCCGCAGTCATTCTGCAGAATTTTGTGGCAGAACCGACCATCCAGCAACCGGTTGGGCGTTTGCACTTTTGGGCCGAATCGAGCAGGAATCCCAATCAATGGCAGGAATGTGCACTGTGGGGGCCCGTGTTGCTGTTCCCCTGGGAATCGCAGACTTGCTGTCCACAAGCCAACTTTGGTGCTTCCGACACCTTTCGCAGTCGCCCGAGGAACGGTCTCTCGGGCGCGAGCCTATGAGCGCCCGGCATGAGATCAGTCGCTGTGCCTTTTCGTGTTGATCCCATATTGTTTCCGGACATCCTAAACCCTAAACCACTCACCCACTGACCGGCGTTGGCCTTGTCAGCGGAAGGAGAAGGGATCCACACGGAAAAGACAGAGGGACTAATATGTTCACGTGAACTCCCTGCGCCCTCAAACCTATCCCCTCCCAGGACTGCCCCCCGTTGCTGTCGGCATTGCCGACAAAGGCGCAAGGACCCTGTTTGGCCTCGCCAAGACAATTGCGATCAAGTGGCTCATCACACTCCAGTTTCGTTTGCGAGAAAATTGCGAGCAAGGCGCAGGCCGCCGAACCAGCTAACCGTGCACGAACATACTTGGATCGCAGGTCCTAGCAAGCATGAGACCCTCCTTGCCGTGCACAGCGCCCCCAGCCTTTGGAGCTTTCGGACTGCGACGGCTGGCCGCATGCCCAGCTCAACAACGCTGCGGTGCGACAGCCCCGCGCTGGCCCCAAGGGCTGCTTGCCTGGACGGAAGACCACACGACAGGAGCCGCAATGTGCCCAAGCAACCTTCTTGTTGTGTCCTCGGGGGTGTCGGATCTGGCAAGCGAGTTTGCTTACCCCTCGCCCCGCCCCACCGACCCGCAGGAGACACAGCCCCTGCTTGGGGTTCTTGGCGGGCAGCTCGGATTCCTCCGTTTCCATCGATGGGCATGTCGATGTGTAACACATGTCCTCTTCGTTCTTCTTGCACGACCTCTTTGCACGAGAATATGTTAGCCCACCCGTCTTTTCCGTCGGTCCTCTTCTTCCGCTCACAAGGCCAACGTTGGTAAGTGGGTCAGTGGTTTAGGGTTTGGGTTAGGGTTAGGGTTAGGGTTAGGGTTTGGGGTGTCGAAACAACAAGGGATCTTCACGGAAAAGACAGAGGGACTAATTTCATGCCTTTTTTATGCAGCTTTGCGCTTCGGCGAGCACGCGCATGGTGCGCCCTCAGTAGATCACAGATGTAGCCCCCGTTCCGCTTCCCGGGCCTGCAACAAGTCAATGTACCAAAGTATGAATCAACCCGAATTGTGCAAGAAGCTTGCAGACATTAAAACAGCACAGAACATAAGCCTGGGAGATTGGAAACGGTCGTGCGGGTGTTCTGAACATCAGCCGCATTTCATTTATATATTGCTCAGGCTGCAGCCCTGCAAGCCCGCGCAGTGTGGGTGCACGCGGAGATGGCCGAGCGGTTAAGGCGCTGGATCCAGGTTCCAGTTCGAAAGAGCGTGGGTTCGATCCCCACTCTCCGCAAAACTTTTCGTCACCGTTTTTTGGCCTTCTGCCTTCCGTGCCGACCACAATTGCGCAAATTCGCACGCCAAACCATTGCCAAGTTGGAATGCCGTCCCGACATCGTCACAACCTACCGGTTGGTTTGCGGGTCATCATCACCAGCATCACAAACTTTTACATGACAAGGCAAGGTCGTAGCAGTGGGTGGGTTCGGTTGGGTTCCAGTGTCAGTTTGCATGTTGGAAGCATACATCTTAGCGTCATCTTCGGTCCATTCACAACTGCAGCTCCTCCCAAGTCCCGCAATACACAAAACGGCTCCCAACCAGATGTACCACTCTGTGGGAGCACATCGTCAACAACGGTCACACCACCACAAGTCACAAGTCACCGCCAGTAGTCCGCCTGTCTGTGTGCTAAATTGTGGGCAACGCAACCCGAGTGGTGCGATGGAGGCCACAGGGCAAGATGGTACTTTAGAGATAAGGTCCCCCGCGGCCAACATTAGGACTCGCAGGAATTCAGAGCGCTCACCTATGCTCGGCGATACCTCGTCCTGTGGGAGGCCGCCCCGGGGTGTGCGGTGAGGGCCCAGGACAGCGCCGCGGCGGGCGGCGCGCGGACAACGCCCGGATGGCATCGCAGTGCGGGCTGGAGGTGGGACGCGCGCAGCGCCGACGGGACAGCTGATCCCAGGCCCGATCGCCTTTGCCGAGATTTTGGCATGCGCCGGCGAGAGGGGGGCCCCTGACGGCTGCTGACATGGCTTGCGCGAGCGCCGGCGGGGCTCTGGGATGATCGGGGCGGTCGAAATTCGCCGAATCTGCGTCGCGGCGCCCTCGATTTCGCCGGCTGAAGACCGCGACTCGTTTTCTGGCGCGGGGACGGGGCGATTGGATGTTTGTCTGGCGGGCCCCTGGGTGTCGCCCGCATTTCGTTCTCGCCCGTGGCGGCACTCGGATCGCCACGCAGCCATTCGCGGCTCGTTGCCTGCCGCGGTGCCCGGTGAGAAAACCGGGACGATGCGCAGCGACGCTCAGCGGAGGGACTGCACGCGCCAGCCCGGGGTGCGCCGGACTCACCTGTTCGATGCGCCGTCCGGTGTGGCGCCCGCGCCGCCCCCATCATCATGCCGGATCTGGGAGCACGGCCGGCCGCTCTCCTGTCGCCCCGATCGCGCCGCTTTCGGGTAGAACGCCGCGCCAATGTCCTCGCGCGATCGCCGATTTCCCACCGAGTCCTGACCCAAGGCGCACGATCAGTTCGCCTGGCAGGGGCCCAAATCGGAGGTGCAGAGGCTGGTGGCCATCCAGGAGCTCGTGCGCCGGTCCCAGGGCGCGCAATCGCTTTCCGGCGGCCTCGATTCGGCGGACTGCAGGACGCCATCCCGCGACTGCGGCCGAAGCTTGGAATCGGCCGAAGGGACCGGACTTCAGAGCCCGGACTGCATCAGTTTCCAGACCGCGGGCGGGTCCCTGCAGCATCCCCCGTCCGCATCCCCGGAGGGGGGTTTGCCCAACGTCGTGCCAGTTGACGGCACCCTGTGGCCAGTGGTCAAGCCGGATGATTTGGGCCTTGACCGGTGCTCGGCGAAGAAGGACAACAAGCGGAAGGCGGCATCCCTGGAGGGCCCCCCGTTCGGCGACGCGCGCGCCGCCTGCGCTCATCCCAGCCCCAAGGCTGTGAGGAATTGGCCCACCGACGGGAGTGATGGTGGGCACCCCTCTCGTGCCTGCGCCCACGAGGGGGTGCGAAGGGTGCTCGCCAACGGCAACTCCGTAGCTCCCCAGGGCTACGAGTTGGGCTGCTTGGCGCAGCGGTACTCTGACAACGTTGACCACTTTGGGGGTGCCAGCCGGGGCCTATCTGCCAGATTTGCCTGCAGTGGGTTTGGATGGAGGAACTTAGAGGATGTTTTGCAGTCTTCCTGTGGTGGAGAGGCTGTTGGGAATCCAGGTGGGTTTTGCGCGTGCGACCTGGGGCCAATTGACTGCCCCAAAGCTGTGAAAATCTGCATCACTGCTAGATGTTGCTTTTTGAAATTGTGCCAAGAAGAAACTGATGTGTCTGGACGGTAGGGGAACACTGTTGAATTTTGTCGCCATTGGAATTTATCTGCTTAGCCACCAAATTCGGGCACGTTTGCATGGTGTATTTGCATTGTGACAATTCGACTTCCTCTGTTTCAAATTGACTGACAGTGGTCGTGAAGATGATGAAAATGTGCTCAGACCTGCAAAATGTTTATTTATGCACAAATGGAAATAACACAACTGGCATCCCCAAGGCCTGGTCGTCTTGAAAGGAGTTGCCTGTATCCAGAGGGTGTTAGAGCCCTACCAAAACCGGGGCTGCATCTCAAAGAGGCCATGGGACTGGCTTTTGGTCAGCAGCGCTGTTGCTCTATATTGGAGGAGAGTGCCAATTCCTGCTGAATATTCAGCTTAATATTGGAGCATGACCTTCAGTTATTGTGTGGCCTGCAAGCTTCGTCCCACTCTGTCCTGTCGTTGGCACTTACAGCGGAAGTCTTTGTTGCGTTTTCAGGAAGGGCAAGCTTAGCTAATGGACAGGCCACGGAAGGGCTGCCTTCAATAGTTGTTGAGCAAGATATTATGAGTAGAGCGACAGACTTTGGACACTGGCATGTTGCTGGTTCTGAGCAGCCCACTGTCACTTTTACATCCACCAACAGCAGCATGTCATTTGAACACCTTGCGTCTTTGCCACGCACCCATCCAGATGTCGAAGAAGTGTTGCGACATCCTGACTCGGGACCACTCACGCGGCTTGCCCTGGTGGGAACCTCAGGGCCAGAGCGCAGTTCAGATGGTGAGGAGTTTTTTCTCTGGGATGGTGCCAACCGTGGTGCTACAAAGGTTCCAGGTAGCTGGTGCATCAGTGCTCCCTGCCTAGTGGTCGCATGCTGTTTTTCCAAGAGTAAGCAAAGCGCATACCTATGAGCAAAACATCCTTCCAGTCAGATGTATGATGTGTCCAGTGCGTCAACACCAGGCACAGCAGTGCATCTGCATGCTACTTGGTTGTTGCAATGTTTCTTGTGCATACTTAGCATATTGGCCACGTGTGGCACATCATGCAGTTTCCAGCGTGAATGTTGGAATCGGTAGAAACACGCCACTTCGTTGAACAGGCAGCCTCCACATGGTACCTTCGTATATTCAACCCTTCCGCATCAAAGCAATTTACCATTATGCTTTTTGCTCTGTATTTCTTTTACCAGAGCGTCATTGTCCTTTTCTTACGTTGCTCTGCAAAAGTTTTTATTGAAAGAGCGGTATTTATTTATTGTTTTCTCTGCAAAAGAAGGCCAAGCATTATGTTACTGTGTGGAATGGCTGAAAAGACTTGCAGTACAGATGTTGCAACCCGCAGTGGTTGTGCCTGACATAGCACATGCCTGACATAGCATATGCCTTCACTCCCCCCTCCGTACCCAAAAAACAGAAATTGCCAAGCTTCTCTTCATTCATCCGGGGTTTTCATTCCCTCACTATTCGTAGTTACAAGGCACAATGCCCACAACTTGTCTTTTAGGCTGGGATAACATACATATCTTTAATTCTGCAATGCTTTGAAATGGAACAGCGCAGAGACTTGTTCAATTTGGCCACGACTGCCTTGTGACGCTGGCCTTGTTGTGTGACGACTTGTCAGATTATGATGTGAGGATAAGTGCTAAGCTTGGATGGGATGACGACCACAATAGCATGGACTGGGACTGCATTGACTGGGCAGCAGTTGGTCAGATTCCCTTGGGACAAAGGCCATTAAGACAGGCCAATGGCTGTCAATCGGCAAAGAGAACTCATCAAACGTCGAGCTCAGACTTTCAGTACACACCCCCAGCTACAGGTGTGCTGCGATATGTGAATTGGGCAGTGTAAGCGATGCAGTGCAGTTCCTGTGCAGCGTTTGTGCTTGTTGGTTGCCTGTGTTAAACATGGCAATTCATTTCCTGTTTTGCATCTCTGGCCGCTTTCTTCTCTTTTTGCTAAATGTTGCAGGAAGTGCCCAATGAGGTGGAGTCCTCCCAGTTTGGCTGGCTCTGCAGTTGCCCTACACAGCACTCATCCTTGTTATCAACATGTGTTAAAGCATATGGATTGCCTGCCCATTGCCTGATGTTGGGCCTAGGCAGCACCTGCTTTGCGGCCCACCTGTTGCTTCAAACAGCCCTCGCAGCAGTGGACATCGGTTGTTTCCTGCAATGTGTTGTCGTTTCCTTGCATTGTGATGGGCCTCAAAGACAGGCGACTTTCTCCAAATTGTGACTGCCCTGCTTGTGCGATCAATTCGTAGCAGTGCATTCAGACCCTTCTGAGCAATGGAGGTCATATCGTTAGTTCAGCAGGTCCTTATGGAAAACAATGGAGTCTGTCCACCTCTGGACAACCTGGACCTTCCCTGTGGTGGAGGGATGTTGGGAGCGTTTTTTATTTTCTATCTTTGGTTTCTTTGTCCTTTTGGTAATATGTGTATTTCTTAGTTGACATGTGGATGGCAAAGGGACCACTGTGACTGAGAATGGTGACTCTTGCAGACTCCAAGTTCTCCACTCCCTTCATTTGTTGCCCTTCATTTGTGGCCATCCCTGCATCCATAGTTGCTTGTCCTACACACCATCCTGACTGATTCGATATTATGAACAATATTTATTCTCTGAAAGATCTGTAATTTCTGAATAATTGACAGGTTTGGCGCATGGAAATTGGGATCTATTGGGTTACGAAAGTGCGGAAGATGGAGAGACTGGTGGTAACACTGTCAACAGTAAAGCTGACCATGATGGTGATGGTGATAGTGAAGATGACTATGAGTCATACAGGGCTGCTGTGAAGAAATCCAGGCGACGATTGAGGATAGATGGCGACCGCGAGACGATTCTGTCAAGGATAGTGTCTGCACAGATTAGCTGGTGCAAGGGGAAGGGCAAAGCCTGCAGCAGGAACGTCGAGAAACATCGCATTGTTCTGCAGGTAGTGGCAGCATCGATGCACCTGGCCCCAGTGTTGACACAAGCAAGAAGCAGAATGGAAAATGAAGCAATCGAAACAAAGAAAGCAAAAAGGAGGAAAGTAACCTGCACAATAAGAGTACACATCACAGGAAAATGCTGCTTGCACCATGCCATGATGATATTTTTATATATGGATTGGGTTGTGAACAGTAACATGAATGTGCATGTGAATGTGAATACCAATGTGGGTACAAATACCAACATGCAGAATCTGCCTCAGCAGCACTATTAGGGTGAATTGCCTGCACAGGCCACTACCAAATGCTGGGACTAACTCCTTGCTGAAAGCTGTGCAGCTGGTCAGGGAATGATGTCTGGTGGTTGGGGTACACGCACTGCTGCATCTGTTGGTTGCTCCAACTTTACAGCTCAAAGCTTTCAGCACTACGTGCAGGCCGCAGATGTGCATCCCAATCCTTTTGACCCATTTATGTCATGGGAACGTGTTGCGTGGATTGTTGGTTCGTGTTGTCTCAACCTTTTGATGGCCAACTACTGGTGTTTGTTGCCCTTGCACAGGATGAAAGAGTTTTGGCAGGGTTGTGCAAAGACTTGAGGGACAATCGAGACAACAAGGCTGCGCTTGTGTTCAGCCTCTGCATGTTTTCAGAGCCAGATGTAGTTATGGACCAGCGGGCTGCGGTGTCAACGGGACTTGTGGTTGCATTGAATGAACTTGTAGATAGTGAAGATGCCAGAATCAGATCACTGGCGAACGAAATTTTAAGGTAAGCACATCGATGGACGTGAATTGTGTCATGATGACTGGCTTTATGTTGCACAGCCTGGAAGTGCAGTAGCACATTACTGGCCAGCATGGACGTTGGCCAAGCGAATTGTATGCCACTGCAAGATGCCTATCAATACTGGTGCAGTGCAAATCCGCGTCTGGTAGTGTTGCAGTAGGTTTCGTTGCAGTTGCGACTATCCCAAGCTGGTGGGTTGTACAGACTGCACACCGCGGATTTGCAGATGGGCGGCGTGCACAGATGGCTCTTTGGTGTGCAGTCTGGGAATGTTGTTCAAGTGCAGTTTTGTGAAGGGTTGAATGCACCACTGCACACACACGATTGCGATTGCTAGTCGTTGCAGCGCTTCAATGTCTGGTTCAAGAAAATTTTGTTGGATGCCAAAAATATTGCCAGGGAAAAGGGTACTTGAAAGGCAGCTCTTTGCTGCTGTTTTGAAAGATGTTCTCTGCAAAGGAAGCTCATTTCAATGCGACAATCGCATCCTGTCTTTGAATCACCGTTGTTGCTCACGTGGCTTCCATTGCTACTGCAATGCCTTGACGGGTGGAAAGCACTTGGCACTTTCGTCCCTGCACAGCAGCAGAGATTCACAGGTAGAATGCCTTATGATGTGCGCAAGAACGCTCAAATTTGCAGCCGATGCCCACACTTGTTGTGCTGTTCAGGACGAAGATGGATACTCGGAGAGGATGACAAGGATCGAAAAGGAATTGTTTATGACAGTGTGATTTGGAAGTGTCTGTTCTGTCTAGTGTGTAGCAGTTGCGCAATTCGATGGAGGGGCAATCCAACTTGGTCTGCAGTGCCCGCTTAGTGACGGCGTTGCTCGAACCAAACTTGGCTGTGCGCTTTGTTTTGTCGAGTTGATGGGGTTATTGTGCTGGAGGAAGAACTAGTTCAGTGTGCGATAGGTTTTGAGAGGGCAGGAGAGACGAAGCTTTCACGTCGCATTTGTGTGACACTCATCTTGGCACACTTTTTGCATTCATGTATCAACTTGTGTCCTTGCGGTTGTTGCACAATGGGTGCAGCTGCAACTCGAGACGAAGCTCTCACGTCGCATTTGTGTGACACTCATCTTGGCACACTTTTTGCATTCATGTATCAACTTGTGTCCTTCCGGTTGTTGTTGCACAATGGGTGCAGCTGCAACTCGCTCTCCGCAACAAAGACAAGTGATGACATATCTTACACTGTTCGATTACAGCTCAATCTATTCAATTTAATGGCCATCGCTGTAATCGAGTAAAAGATGGTGGGAAAGAGTACGGACATAGTCGGCCAGTTTTCCCTTGAAACGTACTAAGATGGCTGATTCTGATAGTCCTGTCACTGCTCCGTACTCAAGCAAAAACATGTGCGCAGTCAGCTATATTCCAGTACGGTTAACTCAAAGCGGTCTAGGCTTAGATGTCCCCTATTCTGTGAATCTGTGATTGGGATAATCAGAGCCAGCCCAACCTGTGTAGTTTGGGTCATTTTAAGGCCAGTCGATGGGCAGCACGGTCAGCTACGGCTGCGCTGTCATTTTGCCAAGGAAAAGGGCAGTAACTAGTTTGGTTGGACCCCAAGGTTGACGGGATGCAATACAGTTTTGAGTCACTCATTTCCAGTACACAGAATTGAGGCTATAGGTACATCAGACGGAAAGAAAGGGGCCGTAGTGTGTACAGGCCCGATGGAAAGCACCCTTGAAAAAAGGCTGGTCTGTTCGTAGGGAGCTCTTGGGTGACTTTCGCAGAGAAAGAAGGCCAAATTCTGGCCCCTTTTGAGGACGCCATGGACCGTAGGGGTTGTCATTCAACGGACCTGGACTTTTTCAAAAGGTCCTAAGACCTTCACAGGACAGGTACTGACAGGACGTAAGGGTTCAGTGAGTCGTGATGGGACATGGTATGCGGCTGCTGACAATACTTTGTTGCTTACCAACTGTATGGGAAACTGCCCTTTGGTAATTTTTGTATTGTACCGCGTCGTACACGTTCGTCACATCCCCGCATCCTGCGCCCACAAGGCCTCCGCGCCCCGCGACCTGCGACTGGTCCGAACGGAGCGACGCTGCCGTTTCACCGCGGAAAGCACTGAAAGATGGGCTGATGGCACGGGTCAAGAGGAGCAGGCTGCCGGATTGGGTCCCGGCGCGTCGCGACGCGGACGGGGAGTTTGGCGAGGGGGCGATGGCAGGGCCCAGCCACATCCCCACTCGATGGATGGCGCCCATCCCGCGACAAGGCGAGGTGCATCCAGACCTGGCCGCACGAGGAACGCGCGAGCTGGGCAGGCCCTCGTCCTGAGTGAGGCAGCCTTTCTCGTCAAGCAGGGCTGCGAGGCGAGGGCCGGTGGCGCTTTGGCATGGGGCGCCATCCGCGGCTCAGGCCTCCCCAACCGATGGATCTTCGGGGCCGTGGACTCGACCGCGGCTTGGCGAGCGGCAGACGAGGGGGAGGGAACGTTCGCGTTCACTCTACGCTATGGGGACGGAAACGAGGCAGAGTGCTGGCAGCTGTCCAGTGGCGTCTTTGCCGCCTGCGATTTGACTATCGAGTGGATTGGAAGGAAGTTTCTGGTGAACGACCAGTGCGCGACGATGGCAAAGCTGCGTGGAGTCTTTTGAAGTGCTGGCGGCTTACTGAACAAAGTTTCAGGAGCTGTGAAAGGCGGCGAAGGGAGTCGCCTCGTTGACCGGTGATGAATTACCGCTGCTAGGCAGAGCATTAAGCAGCTGAGAGAAATTCAGTGCTGGGGTTGCGCCTCGCTTCGGTAGCGCTCGGCAATACCCCTGGAGTCCTGTTGGGTTTGAATTTGCGTATTGTGGTAACTTCCATCGTCCTGTAAGCTCCTAGGAGCTGAGTGGTTGAAGGTGCAAGAGCGGAACGCTCAGAACTCCTGGGCGATTGACAGGGCTGTGATAGTGGCTGTGTCCTTAGTGACTATCATTGAACGTCTATGGCTGATCGTTGAGTCATATTGCTGTTCCTAAGTGTAGGCATCCTCCTGTCGGTGCTTGTCAACTATTTGTAACATCATGGCACTCGAACATGGTTTCGGAGCAGGAACGATCTGGTCCTGCTTGGTGCTGGGATTCCTGCTGCTGAGGGCGGTCACAGCCCTGAACGTGACACAAGCGGACGATGATGATGCAGTGCTTGTTGATAGTGTTGTCCCAGCTGACTCTGTAGCAGCAGCAGTTACCAAGGCACTCAAGACTGATGTGGAAGCAGAAAGGAGTGCACTGCTGGCTGTAGATAAGGACAAGTTGGTTGAGATAGCCATGGACAAGAATCGTCAGATTGGGGATCATGTTGGGTAGAGCGTTTCATATTTATGTGTTGGGGTCGGTTCACTTCAATATAGCTATGAGAGGCTGGTTTTGGGTTAAAAATGAAAGGGCTCATGAGTTTGGTGGCAGAAAATGATGGTTGCAAATTGATGGGGATATCAAGTGATTGGAATATGGGGATATGGAAAAAGGCAAATGTAATGTGATAGGACATCAAATTGCCATCAGAAGATATGCAAAATGGATGTGGCCTGTGGCATTCATTATAAGGGGAGTCTGTATTGGTTCCAAGTTTCGTCTTCTGAGATTTGGGGCTGCATTCTGCAGCTGGGCCCACCACAATATGAGTGAAGTTGCGGATGATGTGCATCTCATTTTCCCAAGGAGAATATCCCAATAGTTAGTGGCTACGACAGTGTGTGCATATGTGTGATGTGGCAAGTGACAACGATTGGTGTCTGATGGTGATCGGTTTGGTAATCGGCGCTTAAGTGTGATGGGTGATCTTTGGTGAGCGATGTTTTCAAGGTTTTTCTACCTTGACATCCTGATGGTTTGATGATTCGATGGTTCCGATTGTGTTTCTCTTGGATGGCTTCATGTTGGTTCGAATTGGTTTGTGTGTTTGAGTTTGTTGGAGCAGCATTCTTATTGTTCTTGGAGATTCTGGATTCCTTTGCGGGATCTATTGGAAGCTTGAGGTTGGCAAATGGGCACTTCTTTCGAATGTGCTGGAAAGGTGGTTGGATGTATGTAACAAGTGTATCACACATTATGAATGCCACAATAGGGACATTGGATTTGGGAGGTGAGAATGTTGGACTTTATGGGTTTCGGTGCAATTTCGGCTCACTGGATTGAGAATGGAAGGAAAAGGTGGATTGTTGGTTTCATAGCTATTGACATCCATCAAGCTTGCAGGTATGGGACTGCAATATCATGATGATGGGTTGAATGTTAACCGGTGGGAGGTCTGTATCCCATTTCTATTTGAAAGGTTTGATCCTAGCCTATGGGGCCTGAAGAGGACTGGGAGGATACATGTGTGGTGGTCAGTCCTGGACAAGCAGTGCTGAGGTGAACGGGGAGTAGGATTCGACCTGCAAAGATCCGATAGGTTATTCTTGGATGTGCCTTGAATTCAGAGTTTGGTAATGTGTGTGGAGTGTTGGTTGCTTAAAGCCCAAGGCTTGAGTGTTTCATGGAGATTGTACCCAAGATCGTTTTGTGTTTGTTGACTTTATCTCCAAGCTAGCAACTGGACTGAGTATGGGAGCAGTGTCATGGAATTAGATCTGATTTGTTGCTTATGCTTGATGGTCATTTATGAGTCACAATTTGGCTTAGTGTGCCATGGTTAATTTCTTTATTTAGGGATCATACTTTGGCATTGGATATTGATTGGAGATTTACAGAGCAATCAAGTGCTCAGGGAGTTGTTGATAAGGTGTTGGAAAATTATATGGATTGGAGAAAGGAGAAAGCCAAGATGCCAAGAAAGGCAAGGGCAAAATGTGAGTTGATGGACAAAGGAGGAGAAGAAAGTTTCAATGGCTAAACAAGGCATCATGGATGGATAGTGTTGCTTTGTTTCAAGCACAGAAACTTGTGGATTATGGAGTTTAAGATCTGCAGCGTATTTGGGAAGGAGGCTATTGGCAGGTGCACCAGGACAATTCGGAGTTTGCGCAGGGTAAGCTGGTGTGCCCATGTTCGATTACAGCTCAATCTATTCAATTTAATGGCCATCGCTGTAATCGAGTAAAAGATGGTGTGGGAAAGAGTACGGACATAGTCGGCCAGTTTTCCCTTGAAACGTACTAAGATGGCTGATTTTGATAGTCCTGTCACTGCTCCGTACTCAAGCAAAAACATGTGCGCAGTCAGCTATATTCCAGTACGGTTAACTCAAAGCGGTCTAGGCTTAGATGTCCCCTATTCTGTGAATCTGTGATTGGGATAATCAGAGCCAGCCCAACCTGTGTAGTTTGGGTCATTTTAAGGCCAGTCGATGGGCAGGACAGTCAGCTACGGCTGCGCTGTCATTTTGCCAAGGAAAAGGGCAGTAACTAGTTTGGTTGGACCTAGGTTGACGGGATGCAATACAGTTTTGAGTCACTCATTTCCAGTACACAGAATTGAGGCTATAGGTACTTCAGACGGAAAGAAAGGGGCCGTAGTGTGTACAGGCCCGATGGAAAGCACCCTTGAAAAAAGGCTGGTCTGTTCGTAGGGAGCTCTTGGGTGACTTTCGCAGAGAAAGAAGGCCAAATTCTGGCCCCTTTTGAGGACGCCATGGACCGTAGGGGTTGTCATTCAACGGACCTGGACTTTTTCAAAAGGTCCTAAGACCTTCACAGGACAGGTACTGACAGGACGTAAGGGTTCAGTGAGTCGTGATGGGACATGGTATGCGGCTGCTGACAATACTTTGTTGCTTACCAACTGTATGGGAAACTGCCCTTTGGTAATTTTTGTATTGTACTGCGTCGTACACGTTCGTCACATCCCCGCATCCTGCGCCCACAAGGCCTCCGCGCCCCGCGACCTGCGACTGGTCCGAACGGAGCGACGCTGCCGTTTCACCGCGGAAAGCACTGAAAGATGGGCTGATGGTGCGGGTCAAGAGGAGCAGGCTGCCGGATTGGGTCCCGGCGTGTCGCGACGCAGACGGGGAGTTTGGCGAGGGGGCGATGGCAGGGCCCAGCCACATCCCCACTCGATGGATGGCGCCCATCCCGCGACAAGGCGAGGTGCATCCAGACCTGGCCGCACGAGGAACGCGCGAGCTGGGCAGGCCCTCGTCCCGAGTGAGGCAGCCTTTCTCGTCAAGCAGGGCTGCGAGGCGGGGGCCGGTGGAGCTTTGGCATGGGGCGCCATCCGCGGCTCCGGCCTCCCTAACCGATGGATCTTCGGGGCCGTGGACTCGACCGCGGCTTGGCGAGCGGCGGACGAGGGGGAGGGAACGTTCGCGTTCACTCTACGTTGTGGGGACGGAAACGAGGCGGAGTGCTGGCAGCTGTCCAGTGGCGTCTTTGCCGCCTGCGATTTGACTATCGAGTGGATTGGAAGGAAGTTTCTGGTGAACGACCAGTGCGCGACGATGGCAAAGCTGCGTGGAGTCTTTTGAAGTGCTGGCGGCTTACTGAACAAAGTTTTAGGAGCTGTGAAAGGCGGCGAAGGGAGTCGCCTCATTGACCGGTGATGAATTACCGCTGCTAGGCAGAGCATTAAGCAGCTGAGAGAAATTCAGTGCTGGGGTTGCGCCTCGCTTCGGTAGCGCTCGGCAATACCCCTGGAGTCCTGTTGGGTTTGAATTTGCGTATTGTGGTAACTTCCATCGTCCTGTAAGCTCCTAGGAGCTGAGTGGTTGAAGGTGCAAGAGCGGAACGCTCAGAACTCCTGGGCGATTGACAGGGCTGTGATAGTGGTTGTGTCCTTAGTGACTATCATTGAACGTCTATGGCTGATCGTTGAGTCATATTGCTGTTCCTAAGTGTAGGCATCCTCCTGTCGGTGCTTGTCAACTATTTGTAACATCATGGCACTCGAACAACACCCAAAGCCCAACGACTTAAAGCCTAGCTTAGACCATGCGCCGAGACATGCCTACCTCTTGCATTCTCCTCCCAAGGCATTCAATTCACGTCACAGCAGCCCCCCAGTACTACAACCATGCAAGCAAGACCGAACTCCACACCATCCCAGCCTCTTGCAGGCAGCTCGTTCCACTTAGGCGCCCACCGTTTCACAAACATCCAGTTCTCGCATTCTGCTCGCAGCCCCCCTCGTGAGCAGGGCCCTAAGTGCGCCCCCATTCCCCGGCGCGGCAGCCATCGAACCAGCTGGTCTTGGCACTGAGTGCGGGCCTGACCTGTTGCTTCACGGCGGTGGGACCAATGCCAAAGTCGATTTCCAATTCTATCAAAACTAAGGATGCTAATACACAAAACGGCCCACTATGTGCTTGCCCATGAGGGGGTACTCCACTGGATGATCTGGTTCACTAGGTTTTCGGAACACATCTTGACACCCGCACAAAAAAAGAGGCCACAAAAATGATTTGTTTTCCGAGGTTTTCAAAACACATCTTGACGCTCACAACAGCACAGGCCAGCTGTGCGCCCGTCCAGGAGGGGGTGCTCCATGCACGATCAGTTTCTCTGGGGCCCTGCAGCACATCTCGGCACAAACAAAAAGACAAAAAGACAAAACGCACATTCCCATGTCTCATCCCCACGTCATTCCGCACTGTGAGCGAGAGAACGCTGAAAGCTGACGGCTATCTCGTTGCCTTGTCATGTAGAAACGATGTTGATGATGAGAGCGCTGGAAAGAGAAGAATTGAATCACAGAGAAAATAGCCATACGTTGACGAAGGCAGGCAGGGTCAAGGAGTGGCGACCCCTGACTGGGCCCCATAGGCTCGAGTACGTGGCAACGGTTTACAGCGGAGCACAGCGCCAACAGTAATGCTGTCCCTTACATATCCTGTCCGTTCATCAGTGTCCATGATTCAGTCCCTACTGTATCATCACCTCTTATTGTGCCCAGCTATTACCATTACTCGATCAGTTCTGGTCACAACAGCATCATCACTGAAAGATGCCGTCAAGATGTTGACAATGCAGGCAGGGTCGAGGGTTTGCGAACCCCGAACGGGGACCGTAGTCTCGAGCCCACGGCAACGATTTACAGCCGAGCAAAGGGACAACAGCAATTATGTCCCTTAGAGCATCTTTATCGGTCGGTGCTATTGCACCGGCGGAGCTATCCAGGAACGGTTCTCATTGGCTGCCGTGCCACCTTACTAAGGTGGCATTTGCCGAATAGCACAGGTGCTATTGCTCCCCTGTGCGCATCCGCAATGGTGGGTGCTATGCATACGCCGAATAGCATCCCTGCAGCACTACAATGTTCTGCGCGAATAGCACCGGCGCTATTCTGGGGTGCTATTCAGCCCCGTGCAGTGCTATTCGCGGCCAAAATAGCGCCGCTCGGCGCCGAATAGCTCCGGGGGTGCTATTGGGGTGCTATTGCTCCCCAACCGCTAATGATGTTTTTTTTACGTGCGATGCTATTCGGATAGCCGAATAGCTCCACCGGGACAATAGCACCCACTGATAAAGATGCTCTTATATCCAGTCCGTTCATCAATGCCCCCAATGCAATTCCTAATGCCTCATCCCCTCTTTGTGCGCTCACCTGTTAATAATACTCGGCCAGCTCCAGCACAGCAATGTCATCAAGATGTTCATTTGCTCACTTTCGTTCGTTTAGCGCCCATGTCCCGCCGGTTGCACTTGCGCCGCGCCCTTTTTGCGACTCAGCGCCTCGGGGGATGCGGCCTTTGTGGCCGCCCCACCCACCCTCAACCCCTCCGTCGGGCCCATCAAGCGGCCCAGCCCCCCCAAGCCGGCCCCCAACGTAATCTTCAATAGTTGGGGCGGCGTGGCGGCAGGACCCCCGTGCCGTGCGCTTCCGAGTGCGCGGCCGCCCGTCATCATGGCCGGTCATCAACGGCGGCGAATCGCCGGGCACGGGGCGCCAGGCGGGGGGGCCTGGCTCACACGTACGCGGTTCATGCGGTTCGGCCGCCGCCCGCGTCACTCAAGATACGACAATCCGGGCGAGGGGGGCGCTACCGTTGGACGACAGCCGTGGTGCGGCGCGCTCGCTTTTGTGGACCCCGTGCCTTGCCCGCGCTTTGTTTCGCTGCTGCCATCGGGAAGGTGCGCATTTGGGATCGCGGGCGGGAGGGATGGCGGCGGTGGGCGATCGGCAGCAGTTCGCGATCGGCGAGAGGGTGCTGGTGCCGCATCTGGACAAGCCCTACGAGGCCAAGGTGCAGGGGGACGGGGGCCGTGGCGCGGCGGACTGGCCCTGGCTGCTGCGCGGGGGGCAGGGGGGGCCGCTGTGCGAGTGCTTTAGTCTGGATTCGAAGCGTGGGGGGTGTTGGGGGGAGGGCAGGCGGTGCCCCTTGACAGGGAGACGAGGACGGGAAGCACGGGAAAGCAGGGGGCGGGGCTGGCGCTTTACTGCGGAGGGATGCAAAGGCTGCTGGCTGGGGCGGCCCCAGCCGAGCGGTGGCGTTTTTGGCGGCGGACTGCCGCCGGCCCCGCCAGCCCGTGCGGCCGAACCGGGGCACCGGGCGCGAGGGCCCGGGCCGCCGTGCCTGAGCTGTGAGCCCTCGCCACGCGCACACATCGCCCGCCGCCGAGGTGCCTGGCGCCCTCGCTGCCGTCTGTGGTCACGAGCGGCACGGTTTGCTCCCTCCGCCGCGCTGCCCTCGGATGGACTCTGGTCAATTTACAGCGCCGAGGACCACTTTGGAGTATGTGTTCAAACACTTTCACCCCCTTTCGCCTTCCGCGCGCCCAATCCTGCGCGTTGGTTCTCTTGCCTGCCGCCTGCGTTCTGAAAGACCCGGTTTCTTCGCAGCACGGCATCGCTGTCGGCGGCCCCCTCCTTACCCCTCCTTACCTAGGGTGGCTGTTCGCCGTTCGAGCACGTGCCCGCGTCGTCCCCAGGCTGTGACATTGTTGTGCTTCGCCGTGCAGGTGCTGAAGGCGGAGTTTCGCGATGAGAGCGGGTGGTACTTCTTCGTGCATTACACGGTGGGTCTCTGGGCTCCACCTGAATCACCTTGAAGGAGTTTTTTGCCGTTATATTGGGATCCCTTTCATGCAAAGGTTTCGACTTTTCAAGTCATGGCCCATCCGTGGTATGTCCAGAGTGTTTGTCCCACTTTTTCTCTGCCACTGAAGGCAACCAATGTATAAAATAGCCGCTTGGAAGGTGGAGAAAAGGTGGGAATATGCATCGTTATTCTGTGTTGCAACAATGTTTCCCCCTCAATGCCAACGACCTATGTCATGCCAGGGTTTGAAGATTGTCTCAATTTCGCCATTCCGACTTGATCGAGGCGGGTAATCCTGTGTGAGCTGAGCTTTGTGCTTTCTTTGCCTTTTGATGACACTACTGCGCTCAAGAAAGCACCATATGTGCTGCCTTCTCCCAGCTTAAGGGGCGCAGTGGCTGTTGCTGACTATCAGCTCCCAGAGAGTTCCAGAAAGAGCCATGTCCCCACTCATGCTGTTAGAAATCTAAATATGTCTGGAACTCGTCCCTTAGGGGTGGCCTGGCTGTGAGTCGCTGGTGGCTTGTGCTGGAGGTCTGTGCTTGGCAATGTGAATGCCATTTGCACCTCTGCCCATCGGCATGGCTGTTTGGCTTTGGTGTGCTTTGTGTGTCATTCAAACAAGGGCCATCGTGTTTAGCTGAATCAAATCCATATTTCAAACGTTGTAGGTGGAGCAACAGAAAGACGATTCGCACGTTGTGACATTCCACTGTGCAATTCATGGATATGTGCGATAAGTTTGAGCAGGTGGCGACTGCCAGTATCAGCAGGACTTGATTCATGCATTGGGGCGTTGGTACAGGGCTGGAACAAGAAATATGACGAATGGGTGGAAGATTCTGGGCTGCAAAAGATGTCACAGAGGGAGTCCCCACCCCCAGGGAGGAGGAGCTCTTGGATGAAAGTGGGCGCGGATGCTCACGGAAAACTCGCCAAAAAGAGGAAAGCAGATGAAATGATGGGCAACACATCGACGATGGTAAGACCTCCATCATCACATTCCCTTGATCCTGGGAGCAGTTGGCTGTTGTCTTTGGTCTGCATGTCGTTGTGGTCATTCACAACCTTGAAGCAGTAAGTGGCAGGAGACTGTTTCCATGGGTTTTGCTGAAGCTATCAGGTACAATTGTGACACAACAATCACACCAGCAGACACATATTGTACAGTGTACGCGCAAAATACAGTATTTAGTATGTGGATTACATTGTGCGCGCAACAGGAGACCGCACCTTTGGGCAAGCCGAGAAGGGCTTCATGATATAGCTGCAAGCAGCACCACATTATATCCACTTGTGTCACCATATGTCCAAGCAACAAGCTCCCTAGGTCTAGGGGAACAGGCAGCTGAGGATGCTACTACAAAGTGAATCCCAAACATGTACTCATGGTGTAGCATGAGTCAGACCCTGCTGGCTCCTTGTCACTGTCTCTTCAACCAATAACATCGAAATGCATGTGTCCCACATGTGCTCCAACAAAGAAGGTTACGAATTATCTGTGTCGTTACAATATTGCTTGTCAGCAATATGCCAGGCGTGCTGTTGTGGGAGCTGATCATGTGTGTCATTTCAGGTCGAGGTGGAACTGCCGCCAACCTTGAAGAAGCAGCTGGTTGACGAGTATGAGGTCGTCGTGCAGCAAGGCAGGACTGTGCCGCTTCCACGATCGCCGCCAGTGATGGAATTGCTGAGGCAGTTTGTCCACTATGGTGGCTCCAACAAGGCCTCACAGCAGGACCTCCAGCAGCTTGCCACGGGAATCGAGGAGTACTTTGACAAGGCCCTCGGATCGTACCTTTTGTATGGCATGGAACAGGATGAGTCAGACAAGGTGAGTATGTGCCACACTTGAAAGCTTGCAGTGAATCGTGGTTGTTGCAGCTGCCGGAGGAAATTACAAACCATCGTCCTTGCATGCACGCAACAGTCGAGCATTGTCCAAAACTGATAGAAAGTTGTTTTAAGTTGTTGAAAGTTGTTAAATGAAACTGTCCCCAGGATCCCATCAGGTGCCCTGAATATTCTGCTGGTTGGGCTACTCACTTTGACACTGCAGTGTGCGCAGTCATATTTCGACGCACTTTGAGGCCAGAAAACAGGTGCACGCAAAGTGACAATGTATTTGACAGCTACTAGCTTTAGCCTTAGAAAACGTGTTGTGACAACCCTTCTTCTCGCCAAACTGTGTCCCAATATTGTCAGGTGTATGATTTTTTGCGAATTTAGGCTCGGAATTAGTCGATTACGTAACTCTTGTAAAGTACTCAAGCGGGTGCCACATCAGCGCTGACATGGGACCAAAGACTTGCACTCAAAGAGGTTGCGAAGACTACTATTTCTGCCTGTATACCATGCCCCTTTCGGAGGGCTACCCCCAGCGAATAGGCCAAGACTCGACATGCCCGTCCCCCCCCGTTTTTGGGAATTGGAGATTACTGTGGGTGGCCAGCTCATTCCAACCACCAATATTGGAGCTCACCAAAATCCTGGCAACAATGCCGCATTGGTCTTCATAATATCTATGGGCGAATCTGATGTTGTTTTCTACTTTTGATTCCGACTTTGGGCCGAAATTTCTGTTGTTGATGGGTGTGAGGTCGGCACTGCAGTCAGAGCACATCTAGGTGTATCTAATTCTCGTACCCTGTGTGCCCACAGCTGACAGGGGCGGGCACCTGCGCGTCTGCTGTGTATGGAGCGGAGCACCTGTTGCGACTACTTGTCAAGTTGCCGAGTCTTCTGCTCCCTACGCCGCTCTCGCCCTCACAAACAGCTGTCCTCAACAACAGGCTGCATGTAAGTGTCCCTGCACAGTGTCACTGTGGCTGACAACAGCTGGGAACAGATCCTGGTGAGCGTGCTGTTGTCCAGATACATCTGCTCGTGAAGGAGCAAGAGGATATAGTCGAACAGGAGTTGATGTTGTGCAGTTCTATCTATGTTGGTTGAAGCAGCTTGATGTTTGAAGCATTCCTTTTGCCCAATCATTGTGAGTTTCACTTATAGTGGAGAAGCTGCTGCTGTCTCATGATCTGAATGCATTGGAGACATGTGGCATGATTGATGTACCGATGTCCATCTCGCTGTAGTGGGTGCATTCTTTCATCTTTTGGCCAGTGCATCACCGCTCAGACGTTCGTGCTGTGTGGTTTGTTCAACCTGTTGGCCCTTCCTTAATAAGATGGAAGGCCTTCAAGCAAACAACAGTGGCTGCCGCCATGCAGACAAATTCGCTATTTGAATACTACTTCTCTGTGTGTTTGCAGCTTTTGGTGCACTTCCTTAATGTGCGGCGGAACGACCTGTTTGCCAGATTTTCGGAGTATCGCAGCAAGCAGCCAAGCCCACCTTCGCAGCAGGCCAGTGGCGTTCAGGGGGGTGTGGAGTCAGGACACTCTGGGGATGTAGCTGTTGGGGTCTAGCACTGCATGTGCTCTGGTACGCGACGTGTGAAGTCAGTTGATGTTCGTTGGGCACGAATGTTGACTTTGTCCCTATTCCTTCTTCTACTGACAGGCTTCAGATCACTGTAGCAAACATGAAAAGCCCACCCTCACAACAAGCCAGTGGGTTTCACGGGGAGATGAGCGTGGACACTCTTGGGGACGTAGTTATTGGGGTTTGGGGATGTAACTGCTTTGAGACGTAATGTGGCACAGTTGAGCTGTTTTCGGTGGGCACAGATGTTGACGTGTACCCATTATTCTGTTCATTGATGCCCGATTCTTGTCGGCCAGCGAGTGTGAGCTCTGTTGTTCTTTGGGTGCCTCACGTTGCCTTATCAGATATGGCACAAGGACAGCGATAGGTGTAGCGAAACCACTGCTCACGTGTGCTAGCCAAGGGCAGTCCAGATGCATGAGCGCTCACCATTTCTGTTCGCCCCTTCCTGCTCATTTGCCGTTCTCCGTCGCATCACTGTCAACTGTGTTTCGATCACTGTTGATGACTGTTGTGGTGCACACAAAAACCATTCAGGATTCCCACATTGCATGTGGCTTCACAAGTTGAAGCAGGGTTCTTGCACCTTGCAGGCGATGACCACACGTAGTGTGCTTCAGCTAGGCTCTCGTTTCAGTGTGGTGGTGCTTGCTCCGCACACAATGGTGGTCAGAATGTGAAGAATGCCAGAATCTGATCCCTCCCTTGCGGAACGCCTGAGACTACGTGCACGTTCTTATGCTGACTTGAAGGGTGTTGTGGGGTGCGATAGGCGCAGTGAGCAAAGTGTATATACATATGGTCTGTGGCCTGCACAATCCGCCTCTTTCAGATTCCATCGAGTTCACATTAGTTTGACCAACAAGTGGCTGAGTTTCTGCGATCTTGCGTTCAACAATGGGGATGGAGCCATCAGTCCACTCTGACGGCGATCATGCCTGCAAGTGAAGGACGGCCACTTGTGGCCAAAGATTATCAAATGAAAGAAAGACAGGTTTGTACAGTTAGCAGGACACGTGAAGTTCTTAGTTTGGCGGCTCCCAGTAATCAACGACAGTCATTTTAAGTTTTGATGACACATACTAGCACACATTATTACCGATCAACAACGTCAAGACAAACCAACGGCAGTGCCATACAGTGTGCAGTGCGTATGGTGCATCCTCCTCAACAGGTGTGCAAAACTATTTCCCAACAGCATGGAGAACGGTGCACTGGTCTCCAAGTGCAACGGGAACAGCGTGGAGGACTTCCATGACAGCCATGCAAATGCGCACCTCTGGGGGAGGGATTGGGCGGGCAACGGCATGACGCCCAACATTTGGGGCCATCTGTGCATAATGGAGTGGTTCACATGCACGCCGCTGCTGGTGTCCTGGGGCACCGGCACACGCGCCTGGCCGAGTGGAACAGCTGACTTCAGTCTCTAGAGGGGCATACAAGTACTGGCTGCACCAAATCGGTGACTGCTTGCACCAAATCCCTCCAAAACTAACTCGAACATAACCCCTAACCCCTAACCCCTAACCCCTAACCCCTAAAACCAATACTTACCCTAACACTAAACCTAGCCCTAAGACTGAGGTGAGGACCTAGTGTGCACGTGATTTGGTGCAGCCAGTAATATTACTTCCTCCAGAGGCCCCCCGCACCAGTGAGAACCATCGCAATTCCCGGAGTTGCTTGGGGAGCATGGAAACAAGAGGCACTTTTGGGGCTACTTGAAAGTCCCTGAAAGCGCAGCTTCCACCATGGGAGGTGGTGCGATGGGCGAAACCCGCCCCAAACGGTGATTGGGACAAAAGAAGAGCTGAACGGCAAATGAATGTTGACTGTGGGATTTGAACCCACGCCCTTTCGGACTGGAACCTAACTCCAGCGCCTTAGACCGCTCGGCCAAGTCAACTTCCCCCGACTGTGGTTGGGGGTGTTCCACTACGCGGAAATTGAATTCATGTACTAATGCAAACACTTTGCTCCGTTGGGATGCCCGTATTACTCTGCTTGCATCAGGGCCAACTGGGCGCGCACTAGAACGTACCGATGCCAGTAGAGCTTATGATGAGTTGGTACCATGGAACATCCAGTCTGCGCTGCGAGTGTGTTTGGGTTGCTGTTTGGCTGCGCAGATTCGGTGGGTTGAAAGCCTTTTCGTGTTCGTGAATCTGTGAAACTCGCACAATCTTGTCAGAATCACGATTCCGGCGCACGTGGCTTTTTGTTAGGCGCTCCAAGCGCGGCCCCCAAGTACACACTGCAGTCGGCACTACACGCTTGTGCTGCCTGCCCTTGCCCCCAAGTACGCACTGCAGTCGACGCTACACGCGTGTGCTGCCTGCCCGAAGCATTTTGGGCACAACACAAACATTCAACAGCGTCAGGCATCCCGGCTAGTGACGAGGGACAGGACGCTATTGTGACAGCTATTGTGGACGAGCAAGGCCAGCATTTCCTTATGTGTGGATTTCTTCTGCACAATCTCTCAGCATGGCAAAAGTCTCGATAGCTTGCAAGTATCTGAGGTAGTTCCTCAGGAGGAGGTATGCTCATCAGGTGAGAAATGGTCCCGACCGTCAGCAACAATGACAAACTGGCAAGCAAGACACAGGTGAGCTGCGACATGGCATTTTGTTAACACAGCGCATCGTAATTTTCTTACTGTTGTGCTGGCACAAGCACTGCCAAAGTGTGCCAGTAATGTCGGTGGCGACCCATACCCATACCCATACCCATACCCAAATCCGAAAGTTAGTCTTCTCAATCTTTCATGTCCACTCAAGTTGCTCTCCCCCTCTCTCCCACTCTCACATCTAAGCATGCACTCTCCACTCTCCACTCTCCACTCATCTGCCATCCATACAGTGAAGGAGCATACCCTCACAGCACAGTTCTGTGGTACAATTCCGGCCAGCAACCGATGTACGATCGAACGATGCGGCATGCATGATGTTCAAACTCCATGCTCTCCGAAGGAAGAGTCATATGGCCAAAGGCGACTTCCCCATATATTCCACAACAGACCCAGCAAAGACGACACCCAACACTGCAATGAGCACAACGCCAAGCATGATCGGCGGGGCGCGAGCGTCATATGGACCATCCTGTTTTGCCCTGCCGCAAGACATGCATGTACCCATGAGTAACAACTGCTGACACGGAAACGGGCACGCCCACGTGCTTAGAGATTTCTGGTGCACTACCTTTTCGCAATCCGCAGAGAGGCAAAAGGGCTGTGTCTGCCATCTTCGGGCCATGATATCAAACAAACTATAAAAGACGCTCAAGGTGTGTGATGTGCAACCATTGCCAGCACCACAGTCACAAAGAGCATCACAAACACGGACTCGCCTCTGAAAGGAGCATCTTTCCTGTAGATTAATCCAACAGCTGACGAACTATTTTGATCACACCAATCTACACTCTGATGTGCAACTGGAAGTTATTGTGTTCTGCAGCCTGCCATCTACCCCACTGCATGTGCTCAAGAAAGGACGTTAGCCAAACGGAAGTTCTCCCTTCGTTCTGTGTCCTTGACAAACACTGACAGCGTATGCAACACACAGGGATTGCTTGATGGTTCATTCGCCAAACACGTCCTAATAGACACGATGCAAGGTACTATGCCCTGCTAAAGACAATGCAAACCAATGCAAGGTCACAAGTTTGACATGTGATAGCTGCTGGCATGAGCACACTACGCACACTGTTCTCAACCCTGACAAGGCATAGTCTGGCAACGCAGGTGGGTATCAGTTAAGCAGGTGGCTTCTCCACACTAGTGTGAACACAACACAGAACACAGAAGACAGCAGGGACCAGAACTCACTCCAGCGACCGTATTCTTCGAACAAAGTTCATCGCTGTTTGTGCCACCAGCGCAACGGCCACAAGGAGCATTATTAGAGCGATGATGCGAACAGAGTGATACTGAATATTCCAGTGCTTGTGGCTGTGAGACGTCAATCCTGTTGCCAAAAAAACAGATGAGTGAGGGCAAGTTCCTTGCAAATTGCAAGAGTCAATGAGATCGAATCCACCAGCTGGGCGATGGCAGTGCACTATGCTGGGCAAGCAATGGTGCTCAACAAGCAGAACCTCAATGGGGCGACGTTGCCAAGGTCCATCAGCTGGACCATACATGTGCCACACCAAACAACGGCTATTTCAGCCCCGAGTAAAGGGCCTTGAGGGAATTGGCATCATTATCAATTGGTCGTGTGCATGAAGACCACACTCAGCACCTCCTGGACAAAATTGCTGCAAACAATTCATGGAGGTCATGGCCCCTTGGATCGAACGTGTTGTGTGCATGGCCAACATTCAGCACCTTGCCAACAGTGCTTTGTAGCACACTTGTACTCCAGGTCTGTCCACATATCTACGGGTCTAACGCATCTTACGATACATCCAGACAAGACATCAGTGTGTCTACATATGTTTCCACATAACTTGAACCCCCGATTTATGTGGCCTGTTGCGTTTCAAGGAGATCTTTTGTGGACATTTTGTGTGCAGCAACAGGCCCCTCACTGTCGAGTGCGCGGACAGCCATTCGTCACTTCGCAACAAAGCAATCAAAAGATCCACACGACACGACAGCAGCGCCGAACAGGAAGCCCGCCTCCGGCAGGCAGAGCGCCGCCGCCCCGCTGGAGGGCCTCCATCGCCAGTCCGCCTAGCGGCGTCTGCCGGACAAATATTCCGCTCCCGCCGCACGCCGCCCTCCACTCACCGAGTATCGCCGCAGCGATGCTGCCAATCGTGACCGAGACGTGGAGCCAGTGCAGGAACGTGCGCTCGTTGGCTGGCAACGCCACAACGACAAAGGTGAGTCAGGACGCGGGCAGCGCTGTAGTGCACATGGTAAAGAGGACGTCTGACCGGGAATCGAACCGGGTACCGCTGATCGGCATGTCCCACTGCTGTACCAAACCACCTGGACCAGGGGTAGGAGGGTAGTCCAGTCCCTTAAGCACCCTTC